CAGTCAAAGTGTCAGTCATGCCGTCTTCACATGTCCAGACCTAAATATCCCATGTGTTCTCAGATTTCTTAGATGCTATATGGCATCAGATGAAACATTAACCTGACCGGCCAATTAAGACACATTTAAGATTTTCGGAAAGTCTCTTATCTCCTTCATGCTACGTTGATAAAAAGAGCTATATGCTGAAGCAAATGCGAATAGTGATGTGCACAGTCCAAAATCTCAGTGTGCACACACACAGTTAATGATTTTGGAGACTTGTGAAAGCAAGCAAGGACTGAATGTACCTAACAATTGCTTTTAGACTGACTGCTTTTAGTATACTTTTTAGAAGGAAATTATGTTAATTATATTATATAAAGTCATTATATATTCATGTTATGATTATCAGGAAAATAGTATTATTAAATGGATTTGTCTTTCTTTTTGTTAAATCTATGTTTTGCACTTTACATGTGAAGTTCATTTTAGATTATTGAGTGTAATGCAGAGCATTGCTCATAATATTAGTTGATGAGGACTATGTTGTATAGCAAGGCTATCACTCATAGCTACAGCTCACTTCACTAAGTCTACTTTATGATTTAACAGATTTTTTTCCACACAGGCTGTTAAGAAATTAGGTACAATCCAGAATAATGAAACTCAATGACTTGTTTCCTGCACTTGAGTGCACCAGGATTTGAATGCTTATGTAAGCATGTATGAAGTAAAAATGACCTAAAATGTATATGAATTGCATTAATTAGTTTGAAAAAAATACCAATCTTTTATATATTTTCTTATATAATGACAGAGACATTTAAAGAGTTTGTTTGCGCCCACTGTAAGCCTGTACTTCAAAGTTCACATTCATTTTATTAAACACTTTTTGTTATTGTTTATTTATTAATTTAAAGTTGATTTATTATTATATGATTTACTTCTGTCCCCCTTTTTGAATCTGTCTGAATATTGACAAGCAAAAAACAATCATTATCATTACTGGAAAAGCCATGAAAAATAGCAACATCCATCTGCAGGTTACCTTCAAAGATATGCACATAAGTAGTGCCATGTTTGTGGATGACTGCCAACTAAATCTTCACAAACAGGGATTGCAAATGTTTCACACATTTTGAATGGATGAATAAATGAACAGCCCAATTTAGATAAATGCATAATTATGTGCTGAAGTGTTTTGAAATGGTTTTATTAGTGTGAGTTTTCTGTGTGCATTAGAGTAATTTGAGAACTTTCTCTTGAAGAGGTTACATCGTGTGTGTGTGTGTGTGTGTGTGTGTACACTATATGAAGCATTTCCTCACAATTTACTGAGTGAAAACAGAAAAACATCATTCAGATGACATCACCCTCTGTGCTGAGGTATGTTTATTTGGTTTGCACTGTTCCTGTTTGTACACATTGAGTCGTGATGTCCCTGCAACCTTTCACATAGATCTCCACTTTATTGCTGATTCCATGTATTACGACAGTGAAAGGGTTAATTGCGTGCTTTTATCATATACACATTTATTGTGACAATATTCTTATCACCTGATGCTTTTTAGCTGTTTGAGTTGGCGTGTCACTTTGACCTCTGACTCATTTCAGCATGGCTGCTGTTCCTCATGGGTTGCTCAGTGGGGCTATATATAATGATTTTATGTTTCTGTTTTTGCTGACCTTGTTCTTTTTTTTTCTTTCTTTTTTTCAAAAAAGGCTTTTGATGGAGATATTGAAGCTGACATCTGTTTGTTTTCATTTGCACAGTCTCCTACAACCACTCCAATCCTCCTGCCCTTCCTCGATGGTGTAGCACTGATAGCTAATTAATATTCCCCTCTATCTCGTACGCTCTTTATCAATGCGCATACATTAGTGATGCTTATATAAAGAACTCTGTTTTCCCCCCATTCAGTTTGTGATACTGCCTCATAGCTTTAATCAGAATGATTTATTGTTCTATTAAAGAATTGTTAATTATTCAACACTCGCTATAGAACATCAGTTATGATTTGTGGTTTTGTTATTCTGTCGGTCTGTACTGAAGAAATAGGGAATGCCCTTCTTTTTTTTTTATTCCTGCTTTATATACACTACCAGTCAAAAGTTTATAATAATCACAATTGTTTTAATGTTTTTGAAAGAAGTTTTTTATGCTCACCAAGCCTGCATTTATTTGATCAAAAATGCAGTAAAAACAGTATTACTAATATTATTTCAATTTAAAGTAACTTTTTTCCTATTTAGTATATTTTAAAATGTTATTTATTCCTGAGATGGCAAAGCTGAATTTTCAGCAGTCATTACTCCAGTCTTTAGTGTCACATGATCCTTCAGAAATAATTCTGATTTGGTGCTCAGTTTTTTTATCAGTTGTTATTGGCGCTCCAATATTAATAATGGTTCTTGTTATTATCAAGGCTGAAAAGTAGTTTTTGATGCTTAATGTATGTTGATATGCTTGATACTTGGATATACATGATACTTGATAGTAGGGTTGGGCCGATAGAGATGCCATCGTCCATCGCCGATGGCTGATAGACATCACGATGTTTCCCTTATAAGGGGCCGTTCACATGTCTCGCCTAAAAACGCGTGGAAAACGCTAGGCGCGCCGCTTTCTGCTTTTTTCCAAAGCGTTCGGCGCTTGCGCTCTGGAGGCGTCTGCCGTTGCTAAGCAACCATGCCCTGCGCTCCGTGAAGACGCGGAAGTTTCAGCAAAGGATAAATGGATTTGCAGCACTAAAAATCACTTGCAGTAGCTCTGCTACTAAATTTATTTAAGAATGGCTATCCCTGTACAGCTATGATCAGCTGTTCCTTCATCTTGGCTGAGCTTTCAATGTTGTTACGGGAAAGGATGAAGCTGATTGGTTAGTTCTTGTCACATGACCCGCTGTGCACTTGCAGCATTCTGAAAAGTTGAAATGTTTTTATCTGGATAAAAATGAGCGCGTCGCTTCCATTATGAGCGCGCGTCTACATTTGAAATAACGAACTTGAGTGCGCAAAGAACGCGATATGTGAATGGCACCTAAAAGACGCGATATATGTGAACAGCCCCTAAGGATTCACGCTTCGGGCACACCCCCTAAGGGGCCATTCACATATCACGTGGTGCGACGTGCTCATTTTTTCCAGGCGCGTCCGCGCCGCATCGAGATAAAAACATTTAAACTTTTCAGAATGCCACTGAAATAACGAACTTGAGTGCGCAAAGAACGCGATATGTGAATGGCCCCTAAAAGACGCGATATGTGAACAGCCCCTAAGGATTCACGCTTCGGGCACACCCCCTAAGGGGCCATTCACATATCACGTGGTGCGACGTGCTCATATTTTTTCCAGGCGCGTCCGCGCCGCATCGAGATAAAAACATTTAAACTTTTCAGAATGCCACCGCGAGTCATGTGACAAGAACCAACCAATCAGCTTCATCCTTTCCCGTAACAACATTGAAAGATGTTAACAATCACGTAGCGTTTTCCACGCGTTTTTAGGCGCGACATGTGAACGGGCCCTAAAGCCCCGTTCACACTAGCAGCGACTTTTGTCTGGGAGCTGGCGATGAGGTTGCTAGTGGGCGTTCTACTGTTTGCCTTGACAGCGAATCAGGTTTCTTGCCTGCTAAGTACAAACATTTTAGAGGCAATATAATAAATATAATCTAAATCAAAATTAAATCCGTACATACAAACAAAAATTAATGAGAAACAGAGCCTACTTTCCACCATTGCATATGTTTATCTACAGCGCAAGAGGAGAACAATCACATGAGCTCAACCGTCTTCATTCCTATTGGCTGTCGCTCCCGAAATTCGCTCTTCATTTGCATAAAGTTGAAGGATTCTGAACTTTGTAGCGTCGCTGGAGACGCCCCAAGCCCCGTTCACACCGCCAGCGACTTTTTCGCTGTTTGTCGCTTGTAGCTGGCAATTTATGTCGCTAGTGGGCGTTCCTACTACTGGTTGCCTAGTTACCCGTAACACTCCACTACAGCAGATGAATCACGTGCTCTCCACTGACTTCACTCCCATTTGTTGTCGCTCGCGAAATTCGCTGCTTATTTGCGTAAAGTTGAAGAATTCTGAACTTTTGTCGCTTGACTCGCATCGCTTGACACGCCCACATTCCGTCGCCAACGGTCACTGTCGCTCGTGTCGCCGGGAGTCACCAGCTCTCCATTGAAAATGAATGGGATTATGTCGCTCTGTCGCTCGTGTCGCCGGAAGTCACCAGCTCTCCATTGAAAATGAATGGGATTATGTCGCTCTGTCGCTCGTGTCGCCGGAAGTCACCAGCTCTCCATTGAAAATGAATGGGATTATGTCGCTCTGTCGCTCGTGTCGCCGGAAGTCACCAGCTCTCCATTGAAAATGAATGGGATTATGTCGCTCTGTCGCTCGTGTCGCCGGAAGTCACCAGCTCTCCATTGAAAATGAATGGGATTATGTCGCTCTGTCGCTCGTGTCGCCGGAAGTCACCAGCTCTCCATTGAAAATGAATGGGATTATGTCGCTCTGTCGCTCGTGTCGCCGGAAAATCGCCAGCTCTCCATTGAAATGAATGGGATTGTGTCGCTTTGCTGTTGCGTGTCGCTCGCCCCCGCCCCCGCCCCCGCCGATGTCATCGTCCATCGCGATGCTTCACTGTAGACATCGTCCGATGCCAGTTTTGTAGACATCGCCCAACCCTACTTGATACTTTTTTCAGGATTATTTAATGAATAGAAAGCTCAAAAGCATTTATTTGAAATAGAAATATTTTGTAACATAAATGTCTTTACTGTCATTTTTATCAAATTAATGCGCCCTTGCTAAATAAAAGTATTCATTTATCAATTCAGTATTGGCATCACAGGAATAAATTACAATTTAAAATATATTCAACAAGAAAGCGGTTCTTTTAAATTGTAAAATTGTAATCTTTAAATTGTAATATTGTAATGTTCCCATCATCCCCATAAATGCACAACTCTGTTTCTCCTCCTCCTCCTCCTTCGTCTCCTATAGTGATGGAGTCAGCCGTTAGTACATCCACTCAAGTGCCAGATGAGTTTGACCGTAATGTTCCACGGATCTGTGGTGTGTGTGGAGACAAAGCCAGTGGCTTTCATTTTAATGCGATGACCTGCGAGGGCTGCAAAGGCTTCTTCAGGTACACATGCATGCACTTTCTCTCATCCGATTTGGTATTCGCACATTTACACCGATGTTCATTAAGAAGCCCATTAACACATATTATCTGTAACCAATGTGATACTGCCAGACTATTTTTAGCGTTTTTGCATGCGTGTTCATTAGGCGCAGTATGAAGCGGAAGGCCAGTTTTACCTGTCCCTTTAATGGAAGCTGCACCATCACTAAAGATAACCGTCGCCACTGCCAGGCCTGCAGACTCAAGCGTTGCCTGGATATTGGCATGATGAAAGAGTGTGAGTTACTAGCCAACATGACACATCTCGGGAACACTGATTACTGGGAGCCAAGACATACTTTGTTATATCATGTTTTAGTTATAGTTTAGATTTTTATTTAACCTGGAGTTTCAAAAGCTTCCAAATGTCATTTTTTGTGATCTTGAAGGGCTCTGCAGGAATGGCATGCTATTTGTAAGGTTGTTCCAAACAAAAGTATGTAAGATGATCCATTCACAAAAGGCCCCGAAAGGCAGTTAGCAAAATGATACTTAGGATAAGGAAGTAGTTTCACCATTTGTGAGCTCATGCTCCTGAGTGGCAGCTCTTTGCGAATCATTTTGAAAGTGAAAGGTGCTTCAGAATATGGATTTCACAATGTTTGATTGCTCTTGTGTTTTGAAGAATCATCAGTGGAAATTATAGCTTGTATTTTATCACTTTTTTTTAAAACAAACATCACATGCAGAAAGATAAGATATATTTGAATTAAGTCATAAAAAGGCAATATTTGATGCAAATGTTTTAATGTCCCCAACAATTGTAATAGCTATAAACCTGAATATTTCTTTAAACCTAAAAATAAAAAGTTTACATTTATTTAGAGAGACTGAAAATTAATAAATTAATAATAAATAATGCTTAGATTAGTGGGGGAAAAGGAAGAGAAATATCCAGTAGAAAGGGAAATAAATGTTCAGATAATGTGGTAAAAAAAAATTTCAGACGTTTCTACAAGTAAAAATGGTCTGATGGAATTGTTCTCCCCATTGTCAGTATCTATGAGACTGAATTAAATTAAAGCTATTGATTAAACAGAACTCTATCAAACTATACTAAAGTAAATTATAATGAATTCTGGTTGTAATATAGCACTGGAGAACAACATACGATTTTAGTTCCTCATTTTTTTAATCTGTATTTTACCTGTAATAAAATTATATTACATGGGCATAGCAATAATACTCATCTGTCTTTTTCCTTCAGTTATATTGACGGATGAGGAAGTTCAGAGGAAAAAGGAGCTGATCCAGAGGAGAAAGGATGAGGAGGCGCAGAGGGAGGTGCAGAAGCCCCAGCTTTCAGAAGAGCAGCGCAGCATCATTGATACGTTGGTGGATGCGCATCACAAAACCTATGACGATTCCTACTCTGACTTCTCACGCTTCAGAGTAAACTATTCATCTGATGTTTCTCTGTTCTCTTCCTCTCTTCTGCATACCATTCAACCAGTTTTAAGATGTTCTTGAACAGTGGGCTCAGTGAGGTTTTGGACACTTAAGTGCAGGCAACATTAAGCATCAAACCAAGCGGCATCTGTAAACAAATGATTTTAAGTGATCATACAATACCGTTCAAATGTTTGGGGTTGGTAAGATTTTTGTCTTTAAAAAAAAAAGTTTTTGAATGAAGTCTCAATAGGCTCACCAAGGCTGTATTTATTTTGTATTATTACAATTTAAAATAACTGTTTTCTATTTTAATATATAATATGGATTGTATTCCTGTGAAGGCAAAGCTGAATTTTCAGCAGTTATTACTCCAGTCTCAAGTGTCACATGATCCTTCAGAAATCATTCTAATATGCCGATTTGGTGATCAAGAAACATTTCTTATTATTATCAATGTTGAAAACAGTTTTGTGGAAACCATGATTAAAAATTCTATGATGAATAGAAAGTTCAAAAGAACAGCATTTTCCACTTTTGTTCAATCTAATGTGTCCTTGATGAATAAAAATATAGATTTAAAAAAAAAAAAATGAAAAAACATCTTGCTATTCCCAAATTTTTGAATGGTGATGTATATATGATATCCCAAATGTTTGCTATATGTCAAATAAATCCCATTGCTTTGATATTTTGTTATATAATAATGCAGAGACATTCTTACATTTTTAAGTGTTCAAATACTTTTTGGGTCCCATTTTTTTTGTCTTTCTCACTTAGGCATCCTTTGCTATTTTTTTTAGTGTGTTCTTATGTTTATGTGTGTTTTGTTGCAGCCTCCAGTTAGAGAGGGTCCAGTTACACGTAGTGCCAGCCGAGCCGCGTCTCTTCATTCACTATCAGATGCCTCGTCAGACTCCTTCAGCCACTCTCCAGGTGACACACAAACGCACAAGCATATACACATGCGAAACAAATGCACACAAACACTCATTTGTGCGTAAATCACCTGTTAAGTTTCTTCTGAGAAATATTTTTCAGCCCAGTCTGAGGCACGGGCAGGCGCGTGTTTGTGTGTTAGAGAGGTGTGTGTCTTATATGCACAGCAGGCACTGTTCATCTCACCATGCCTGACGTCACAGGAGAGCCACTCTAATGACAAACAGACTATTCACATGCGTACATGTATACACACACACACGGCTCATCCTGGAAGCAGCAAGTTGTTTTTGTAACTTTAAATATGACATTAATCATAAACACTCTATTGGGGTGGGGGGGTATGACCATAATCTTACAGCGCTCACTATGAGTACTTTATGATTTTTAAAATAAATAAAAATACCAATTGAAAAATTTTGTTTTTAATAATAAACAGTTCAGATTAATTTTCTGATTGCTGCAGATGTCTTCAGGGATTGTAGTGCAAGCTTTAGTAAGCATTTATTACAAATTTGAATTTTAAAAAATCCAAATGAATAAATGCAGTTACAATGTCAAGAAAAAATAAACAACATTGATTTCCCCCATAATTGTGCAGTCATAATATATGAAAGCAAATTTAATGTACACAAAATTGCTGAAATAATCTTTTCCACAAAATTTCCTTACAGTTCACTAAAACATTAAAAACAGAAGTTGTTTGTTGTCTGGCTGTTTTATATAAGGCTGTTGGCAGATTTTGAAACATACACAAGGGGGAGATAACGCTTCTGTTAATCAGGACATGGATTAATACATGGATTGTTGAGTTTGAAAGGTGGCTCAGATGAAGCAAAGCATCTTTGATCTTTTTTTGTTTATTTTTTTCTGTCTCTTCCTCTCTCTCTCTCTTCACATCTGTAGAGTCAGGAGATCGTAAGATGAATCTGAGTAATCTGTTGATGATGTATCAGGAGCAGGGTTTAAACTCCAGTCCAGACTCAAAAGAGGGTGAGGGCACTGGTCTTTCCATGCTTCCTCACCTGGCTGACCTGGTTTCCTACAGCATTCAGAAGGTCATCGGATTTGCCAAGACGATTCCTGGATTCAGGTACATTTTTGTTTGTGAACAGTCTTTTTTTTTTGTAATTCATGAATTCATTTTATTTGGAATGGCAGGAGGAGGGATTTACTGAATTGCAATTTGAAGAAATTTGACAGTTACCAGAAGGAATTCAGTTTTGCAACAAAACTGAAGAAATTTTACAGCACAAAAACAGCAGCAGAATTTTTTTTTTTACAGCAGTAATTTTGATTTTAATTACATATATATGAATTCAGTTGTGTTTTGAATTTTGCAGATTTGATTTTTAGAATCAGAAAATATGTACTAGTTTTCAAAAACTATATAAAAACAATAATTTATACAGTCAATAACAACAACAAAAAAATCTAAGTAAATTAGAGCATTCCAGGACATGATATGCATATGCTCCATTCAGCTGAATAAAGCTGTTCTTAAAGGAATAATTCACCCAAAAATGAAAATTTGCTGTGAATTTACATCCCTAGATGTAGGTGACATTTTTCTTTAGTAGAACAGTAAAGAAGATTTTTAACTGAAACCATGGTCCTTGGTAATTCATAAAATACAATTCAATGGCTACCACTGATTAATACTTTTTTTTTTTTCATTTTGAATGCTTTAGACAAGTAAAACATCTGTGTTTCACTTCATTATTGGGTGCTTTAATAATATAATTGCATGTACATTATGTCATTACCTGATTACATAAACAAATTGATGAATCCGTTATTTGAACCTTTTCATTAAATCAAACTGTCCGAAAATAATCTGGTTTCCTGGTTGCCTGAGTCTGTGGGTTATAGGTAATTGTGTTGTAAATAATATTCAGTTTCTTGCACTGACCGATCGTTTTTCTTCATAAGGCCTTAATATATCGTCAGGAGCCACAGGTATTGTTTTTGTTGCCTGATATGTTTTTTTTTCTGTATTCTTAAAGTGACAGTAGCCATTCACTTGCATTTTATGAATCTCCAAGGACCATTTTTCAGCTACAAATCTTCTTTACTGTTCTACTGAAGACAAATAGTCCCCTACATCTCGAAAGGCCTGAGGGTGAGTAAATTAACAGCAATTAATTTCATTTTTTGGTGAACTATCCTTTTAATTTCACAGGGTTTCATTTTTGTAGGTCTTGAGCAAGGATGATCTCTACATTCCATTAATCCATTTTTGTGGTGCTTGTTTGTGGAAGGTTCCACCTTTTTCCCAACAGGCTAATGTTAACATGAATATCATCGATTTAATTTCCTCAGGAGCATAAAAATATGTTTGACCTTATAGACTGTCACTTTCCGTACATGTTTCTTGCCTGCCTCTGTGTACTTCCATGTATTTCCCAGCTTCCTCAGAATGCGCGCACATACATATGCATGATGGACCGCATGTTGCTGTGGTAACCATAGGAGTGTCATGTTATCTGCACTGAATGCACCCACTCCCTCTTCATCTGCCATTCTCAGAATCCAGCATGAGCCAACATTTGACGTGTGTGCATTTGTGTCTGTTTGTGTGTCTTAGAGAGCTGACAGCTGAAGATCAGATTGCTTTGCTCAAGTCCAGTGCTATAGAAGTGATCATGCTCAGGTCCAACCAGTCTTTCAGTCTGGAGGACATGAGCTGGAGCTGTGGAGGACCCGATTTTAAATACTGCGTGAATGATGTCACGAAAGGTACACGCAAACAGACATACATTGTTTCATGCAGTGGCTGCAGTTTTGTTATTGTTTATTAAAACTAAATAAAAAAATAATTTTCATTAATTGAAATAAAGCTGAAATAAAGCTTACAAACTTAAATTAATATTATAAATGTTGCCCTGGCAACTAACTGAAATAAAATATGTTTGATGTGCTAAAATTAATAAAACTAAAACTGAAACAAAAATAAAAATGAAACTAAATAGAAATATAAAAAACAACCAAATAAAAAAAATTAAAATGACAAAACCACAAAACAAAATTACTAAAAATGGAAATGAAACTGAAAATAAAAAAATAAAAGGTAATTCAAAATATTGATAAATAACAGAATAGCACACAAACATACAAAAATAACACTGAATAGTTACATATTATGTCAAAGTTTACTTGGTATATCGCAAAGAGAAGGTTTCATTTGCATTTGATGTCAACAGTGGGTTTGGTATATATAACAAAAAAGTTTTGTAAGGTTAACTTTATTTTAAATTTTTTTCCTCAAATTAATTTTTATTTTTATCCCAGTTTTATGCATGGAGACAATATACTGTCTCCAAAAAATGTGGACACTAAGCCAAAATTAAAAATGTATTCATATCTTTGTTTTGGGTAACAACATATAAAATTAAGAAACTACCAAGACTGACATTTGTTTTTAAAAGAATATAGCACAAACATTTATGGTAACATTTTGCAAAGTTCAAACTTCACATTCATCAGGTATAATGAGCTAATAATGAATAATATTTTTTACAGCATTTATCTATGCTAATGTTTTAAATAGTTCATTTATACTAGTTAAATTAATTCATTTTAAATGTTTAATATATAGCATAAATATAGACCAATACATGAAAGTATTGATTATAATTGTTTTACTGAAGTTTGTTACATTTAAATTAATGATGAATTAAGTATAATTAATTAATTATAATAATTACTGCATAAACAGGATCAATTCATAAGTAATTATAAAACAATAGATATGGTTTTCAAAAATGAAATAAGTTTTTTAATCACTTTCTGGTTATCAAACGTTGTGAACAAGGTCCATAGTCCTTGTGATGAACAACACCTGTAGTTAGTCTCCGTTAATAATGAGCCTAATGAAATCATCCTGATTTTGTGTATGTTTGGGGGCACAGCTGGACACACTCTGGAGCTGTTGGAGCCTCTGGTGAAGTTTCAGGTGGGCTTGAAAAAGCTCAACCTACATGAGGAGGAACATGTGCTGCTGATGGCCATTTGCCTGCTGTCTCCAGGTCAGCGTGTATCCCATATGCACCAAGCATTAGACAGACTGAGACTTCATCCCGTGAAACAAGCCTGTGCTTGCAAACAGAAATCTCACTTGTCTGTGTTTGTGTGCTCGTAGACCGGCCTGGGGTGCAGGACCACGAGCGAGTGGAAGCGTTGCAGGACAGGTTATCTGAGGTTCTGCAGGCGTATATCCGTGCGCATCACCCGGGGGGGTGTCTGCTCTACGCTAAGATGATCCAGAAGCTGGCGGACCTCCGCAGCCTGAACGAAGAGCACTCCAAACAGTATCGCTCCCTTTCTTTCCAGCCCGAACACAGCATGCAGCTGACCCCTCTGGTGCTGGAGGTGTTCGGCGGACAGGTCACTTAGCAAGTTCACCCAAGTCGGAGCAAGACATGCAGGTCAAACGGCGTGACCCGGAGGATTGTGGAGTGGAGTGAATGTACGGTCAATCACCTTAAAATGCATACAGTTTCCAGGATGACGTTTGTGTGTGTGTGTGTGTGTGTGTGTAACTGTATCCCTCATCATTTACAGATCGGCTAGAGAGTGCCATAGATGTTTGCATTTGTTTGTTGTATGTAAGGAAGACATTCTCATGAGAATGTAATATGGTCATGGTGTTTTTCACTGTGGCAACTCAATACAGTATATTTTACTGTATTATCAATAGCCAACAGTATTACACTGCATGTGTAGGATGAGTGTGTGAGTGTGCAGTCCTGTTCTAAACCTCTGCATGGTCCCCAAAGCGCTGTCCACTACTGCTGATGTCCTGTCTCTTCACCTCCTGCCTTTAAATGCACAGGGTTAAAAGTACTAATGCAAGCACACAGCTCTAACTCACCCCTCGCCTAGCCACTTAACCAATCAAACGGCAGCTCCGCCTCCCTTTCCTCTGCCTCCAGAGCTCTGATAGTTCGCTGAACAATGGCTGTCTTCTCTCCTGTTATTTGCCTGTGCTGTGATTGGCCAATAACCTGACGCCTCCACAAAGTGGTCAGTGCAGCATTAGCGCTCGCCACGCAGCTAACCTGTAAATAAGACTCAGTATCTATATTCGTAACTTTTCAAATCAGTGTAAATAGAGTTTGATATAAGCGCTTCTTGTGACTAATGGTAGAATCTAGCAGAGGGAGACCCTGCAGCCCTGGCTGGTTATAATGAATAGGTAAACAAAGACTACGATCTAACTGTGCGTTTATGAAAACATACAGGAAACGGAATCATGATTTGCGTTTTAAAAAACAGCTTAACCTCCATTCTTTACATTGTCGTAAAGTCCTGTAGGTTACATATTTCTCAAATCTTCCATTCTATCATTCTTCTTTTTTTTTTGATTAGTTCAACTAATTAAATTTTTTTCAACATTTTACCCTTCATTAGCCATCATATTTTTTTTCTCATGACACCGCTAACAAAATCCTGAATGCTTTTTATCATGAATTTAATTTATAATTTTTTTTATTTATAGCACATTTCACACAAGCAAGAGTTACACAGCTAAAATAAAAATGTCTGGGTCATATTTCAACCCAAAAGAAGAGAATCTCCCCAGGTGAAATTTGAATTACTCTAATGTGGATTACTCTACAATGGATATCATTCATATTACAATTATGTATTATTTACATTTTAAATAATATATATTTTTCTCTTCATATTACATTAATGAGGATTTTTTTCCACATTATGGTATTCAAAAATTGTGGGAAAACATTCTTAATAAAATTAATTGGAATACTTGAAAATCATGTCACTTAAAAAAAAAAAAAAAATCATAGTTTCATAGTTTCTTTTCTGTGGTATGAGATTTAATCATAGTTTAATGAAGATTGTCTGTAGGTGTGAGTTTGGTGTCGGAACGATTTAATGATCATGTAAGCTGAATTTAACTACCTGGAAACTGCGGTCGCTCGGAAAGGAGAGCGCAGTGCGTGTGTGTGTCTGGAAGCGTGTGTTTATGAAGTGAGGGCAATGTATAGCATTTACCTATACACCAAGTATATTCATATATAATTGGGTGTTGCATAATTGGCCCAGCCTTGATGGGAATGTGTGTTTGTGTGAGAAGGTTATCGTTTCCTCATTATATTACTATTAAATAACTTAGTCATGGCACTTAAGATCTAATGATATGGAAGGTTTGCTATATATATATATATATATATATATATATATATATATATCTATGAGTATTACTTTGCAAATGTAAAAGATTAAAATATTTTCTTGTAGACTAGTTTTGATATTCTGGTATCAGTGTACAGGTGGTGGCACAGCAGAGGGTCGTTTTGTTTATGTGTGGGTAGGTATGCAAATATCGGAAAGTATGATTGAATGCTAACCTCCTTCCCAGTGCGGGCATATTTTATATATATATATACATTTTTCTTTCATGATCTTATTGCTCTCTTTTGACTGTCTGTTTTATCGTCTTCATGCCTTCTGTCTATTCTAAGCTGCTCAGTACTTTGTGGGATGAGGGCGTACACTCAATTTTAAACTGGGAAACTATGAAATCTTCCAGTCTTGAGCATTTTTGTAATCATTCACTCACTTGTTTCGTTCTGATTTCACGATGAACAAGTGAGAATATCCCTGCAGCACTTCCCATAAATATAGATCAGACAAACCAGGACAACATGTCACGTTTAAACAGTCGCAAAGTATACAGTATGCGTGGTGATGATGATGATGGCGAGACATGAGAAAGACGAAGATGAAATTGATGTTGGTCTCTTTTCCGAGTCCAAAATGTAACCATAACAAACTACCTCTCTGGGGAACAGAAACATTTGATTTGTATTTTTTTATGATTCATGTTTGTATTTATTGCAGTGGCTCACATGGACAACCCAGTACCTCATGTATGAATATCACTTAACAACAAAGACGCCTTAACAGCTGTTATATCAGATTTTTTTAGAATGATATTATCTGTGTGTACAGTATTTGTATCCTTAGTTTTCTTCAACATGTTGAAACATTTACATACACGGACGGACAGACAGACAGACAGACAACCTTCACAAGAAAGCTGAGAGCTGTTAAGGCGTGGTCACTTCCATGATTGACAGTGTTCAGTTGCTGCTGGGATTGGTTGGCCATCCTCAGGCCCCTCCCCCTCTTTATTCTTACTGCTCAGTTGGATTTTGCTGCTCCGCAAAAATAATTACACAAAACCTGTCAGAGCATGGCCTTCTCTCTTTTTCTCTTTTTAAATGGTGATGTGTCAGGCGGACATAATCTACTCTGCAAATCACACTTGCTCAAACTTTACCTCATACAAAAATGCATATACACTCTACAGTCAATACCTCATGCCAGGTCAATCCTAAAATGGAGTAGATGATGCTTTCCAATTGATGATAGAGTCATCCGTGACAAAGAAAAAATGAAGAGAGACATGCTCTTTACCTCTCTTCTTCTGTCTGGTCACCATTGGACAGGAGATCAAAAGAACGTTTGTGGCACTAAATGGCTCATAAGTGCAGAAGCACTTCTGTCTCTGAGTGAATGGGTACCATAAGGAAAACTAATACAAATGCTAGCTGTTTACTGAGGCTAAAAGTAGAATGCCCGCTCACCAGGACAAAACCAGTTGAATATGACCATTCATGAAACGGTTAAAATTGCCTGTTTTGTTTTCTTTCCTTTTTTTCCCTTTTACATCATAAAATATTGTAAATTCATGTTCCTGATTTCATGTAATATTGGTCAAATGTTTTCCAAATCAATAAAAGAATATAATAATAAAAACTGGTTACTTTTATTTTCTGTCATATAGGGGAGAGTGGGGTAAACTGCCCGCCTATTAATCTACAAAAATGAAATATTTTTGTCAATATGTTAATAAAGGGCCCATCAGATATAGCTGCATGTGCTTGATAAAAATAAGCATATTTTATGCTCAAACCATTTTTCTTATTAAAAATACATTTCTGTATGGCAGATATAATAAAATTTGCCAAGGTATTATACATATATATTTCTGTGATGTGGTTTTCCATTTAAAAAGTATATTATGCATTTCTCCAAGTGTATAATACCTACAGTGGGTATAGAAAAGAATCACCCCCTTTAAAATAACATTTTCAGAATCAGAATGAGCTTTATTGCCAGGTATGTTTACACATACGAGGAACTTGTTTTCATGACAGAAGCTTCCACAGTGCAAAAGAATGACAGTGACAGAACACAAAACACAGATAATAAAGGGGGGGGGGGGGAAATTAGAACAAGTAAATAGGGAATAACAATATACAAATTGACAATTGTATGTACAGGTATATTACAATAGACAGTTTTTTATGTGCAGGTATATTATGTGCAAGTTCAAAAGTATGTGTGTTAGATAAATAAGTGTATAAATAGTGTTGTGTGTGCTACAATTATTGTCAAGTGTTCATAAGATGGATTGTCTGAGGGAAGAAACTGTTCCAGTGCCTGGCTGTTCTGGTGCGCAGTGCTCTGTTGCGCCGACCAGACGGCAACAGTTCAAAGAGGGAGTGTGCGAGATGTGAGGGGTCCAGAGTGATTTTGCCAGCCCTTTTACTCACTCTGGATAAGTACAGTTCTTGGAGAGTAGGGAGGGTTGTACCAGTGATTCGCTCAGCAGTCCGGACTACCCTCTGTAGTCTTCTGAGGTCACATTTGGTAGCTGAGCTGAACCAGACATTTATTAAAGTGCAGAGCATGGATTCAATGATGGCGGAGTAGAACTGTTTCAGCAGCTCCTGTGGCAGGTTGAACTTTCTCAGCTGGCGAAGGAAGTACAACCTCTGCTGGGCCTTTTTAACAATGGAGTCAATGTGAATGTCCCACTTCAAGTCCTGAGAGATAGTGGTGCCCAGGAATCTGAATGACTCCACTGTTATTAGAGTGCTGTCAATGATGGTGAGTGGAGGGAGTGCAGGGGGGTTCCTCCTGAAGTTCACGATCATCTCCACTGTTTTGAACGTGTTCAGCTCCAGGTTGTTAAGAGTGCACCAGACAGCCAGCTCTTTAACCTGTCTATAAGTAGACTCGTCACCATCCTAAATGAGGCCGATAAGTGTGGTGTCATCTGCAAACTTTAGGAGCGCTGCCTGTCTGTCAGGAAGCTGGTGATCCACTGACAGACGGAGGTGGGCACAGAGAGCTGAGTTAGTTTGGGCAGGAGGAGGTTTGGGATGATAGCGTTAAAAACCGAGCTGAAGTCCACAAACAGGATCCTCACATAAGTCCCTGGTCTGTCTAGATGTTGCAGAACATAATG